ATCAGGCCTAATATTGGAAGGAGAGATAATGTAAGGGAAAGGACACCTTCTTTACAGTAGCATATAAGGCAGAGGTCTCCAAATGTGGCAATTTTTAGACTTGTGGACTTCTACTCCCAGAAATTCACAAGTCTTAAAGTTGCCAAGTTTGGGGACCCCTGATATAAGGAGATGAACTTTAAAAAGTTATTAGAAGTTCAGTTGTGTTATAAGAAGTTCAGTTGTGCATGATATATGTGTTCTAAAAACTGAAGATTAATTGAGTAGGTATTAAGCAAGCAATTTTTAATAATTGTATGGATGATTTTATAGCAAAAAATAGTCTTGCTTTATTTTGTCCCAGTTTAAGATACTAACCTTTTATTTTTATCTACTGTCCCCATTTCATTTTTTTGAAAATTTTATTGATTTTTAAAAACAAATATAAACAAACAAAACATAAAACAAAAAAACATAAAACATCTTTTTTGAAAGCAGCATAATCCCGGGTTACATCTCTTCGTACAGACACAAATTCAAGTTCATGCTCATTTTTATACACCATTCCATATCTTATTACTATTCTCCATTTTCTATATAGCTTCTCCTCTCTTTTAACTTTCTTAATTTTATTTTATTTATTTCATCTCAATTCAAATCATTGTACTTATATTCTTTGTCCTGTTTCAACTGTCTACTATCTTTTCTCATTGAACAAAATTTCTCCTGTAATCACTGATTGGAGTATGACGCCTTTATATCTTTCCCCTAAAATTATAACACTTAATATAATACATAACTTCCGTTCGGATTCTGCTTGGTACATTCTAAAACTACACACTGTATTTTGAAAAAAGGAAAAAATTATAAATGTATAATATAATTAAAAACAACAATCCATACCAATTCAATTCTATCATTAACATTAATATTCATTTAAATCTTAATGTTTTACACATTACTTTTCAGATAAGTATCATACGTCTATGGGAACACTTTAAAAACTTTTCATAGTTAATTCCCCCCCCTCTTCGTTTATATTTTATAAAACATTGAGTAATTAAAATGTTCCCATTCCTTCCTAATTCAATTCATTTATTTTATTTCATTTATTTTGTTCACAAAAGTTTAACTAAATTACTCTGACTATTTTATCCCACTTTTTAATCATACGTGTTTCCAATTTTCTAACATTATTTCTATTACAAATATAACAGTACAATCTTATGTACCTTTGCAGAATCACTTTTTCAGTAAAATTTTCACCAATTATCTCTGAATAAGTCCTGTTTCTTTACATCTTGCTCCAAACCTTTGTAGCTTCTCTTCCTTTCCTTCTTCCCTTTCTTCTTCTGTCTCCCCTTTTTGCCCCCATCTCCACCTCCATTTCCCTCTTCTGTATTCCCCTTTTCTGTTGCTTTCCAACTTTGTATATGCTTTTCAAATTATTTTTCCCTTTTTTGGCTGTTTTTTTAAGTCTTAAATTCTCCATTCTCTTTCCCCCCTTTCCCCTTTCTTCCCCAAATAGAGTTACTTGTTCATTAAAGATGGCTTCTTTGTCCCAATCTTCTAGTTGCGCAGACCTTTCTTGTTGTTTCTCGTAGGTGCAGATCGCCATTTCTAAGAATTGAAAAATGGAGCCAAAGAAGCCCTTCCCTTCTTGTGTCTCTTCTTTATATTTTTTAAATTCCATTTTCAGTTCATCCAGAAGTGATGCCATTGTAGTTTTTTTTGTTAAACAACCACTCAATTGTTTTTAGTCATTCCAATATAATATCCCAAAATCCCAAAGTCACCAACCAATCCAAATACACACAAGCTGTTTCTTTTTACACTTTCTTCTTTCTTCACTTTCTCTTCCTGGGGTTACTATTTAGTTACAAAGTTCCAGTTAAAATGTATCTTTTAGAAGTCTTATTAAGATTTTATTCTAAATTCTTTTGAAGTCCAGGCAGTCTCCTCCTTCCAAATCCTGCCCTTATTCTTTTCCTCTCCCTTCCTCCTTATAGAAAAAAAAGATTTTCTAGTGTCCAGAAATCTTTATTGTCCCTTTGGCATTTAATTATATTTTCAGATTAATTACCTGTTAGTGCCAAAGCGGATTTTTCCGATTTCTTATTCAGCTCTCTTTGTTGTCAATGTGAGGAAGGAGAGTGAAGAAGAAAAAAACTTTCCCTTTTCACCCTCTTTCGCTTCTTCCGACTCTTCTTTGGGAGCGATGTTATCTTTTATAAAATTTAAATTCCAGGATACCTTAGTTGTTGCTTTTTATCCCGGTCAGCCAAAACTTTCACTTCTTATCTTCCTCCTGCACTTTCTTTTCCAGTTGAGTGTTTCTTTGAGGTGGCCATTTCTGACCACCGCTCCACCGCCTTCGGGAAAGGGAGTTTGACCAGCTGAGGAGGAGAGATGCGGCTCTCCTTGACCCTTCTGGCAATCTCCCCCCTCTTCGCCACCTCTACGGGGTGGCTTAGCCCCAAAGCCAGCTGTCTCGGGGCGCTCCAGCGGTGAGCCCAGGCAGAAACCGCACACGATCGCAGATTCCTGCCTGCCGCCGAAGCCCGGCAAACCGGAAGTCCCCTTTTCATTTTTAAGAAGCTTGTTCTGATGTGGTCCATAGAATTCATGAAATTATTTCTTTACTGTCACTTAAAATCTTTTAAGAGTCACTCTGGAGTTGGTGCTGAAATTAAATAAACGAATGAATCAGTTCTCCTTTGCAATGCTGTTCAGAATAAATAATCTGATGCTCTGGTTGTTGTGTTCTGGACAGCAATACACACAATTCCTAACTGGTTGATATTGTAAAAAAACAAATCTAGAGGATATCAGATTATTGACACAATATATTGCAAAAATAGCTAATGCCCTCTTTCTAGATGGCTATACTGCTTTGGGATTGGACTTCAAGTCTCGTTCATTCTGTGCATGATCCAGCCCATGTATGACTGAGCTGATGAGAGTTTCACTCAGCTTACGTGAAGGTAGCAGGTAGAGAATAACTTAGCAGGTTTTTCTCCAAAATTGCCCTTGTACAACATATAAGAGATGGAATGCTTCCATGGGAAGACAAAACATTAAGCTTTCCAAATGTATCCATTTGCCTATGCCACCATTTTGAGGCTGAAGCTGGGTTAATGGGAGTTAATATTGGAATATATACAATAAGGGAACTTCTCAAATTAACTCTTGCCTGAGGGGAGGAAAATGATTGAGGAGCTGCACTGAATGAGAGTTAGTTGGTGTGATGGTTGAGTTGTTGGGCAGGGGTGGTTCAGGTTCAACCACTATCAGCCCTGAAAGCTCATTGCGTAACTTTGGGGCAATTGCTTTCCCTCAAGCCAATTTAACAGATTATTTGTAATAAGAAAAACAGAGGAGGGAATGTGCATTTTTTAATTGAAACTTAGACTCTGGAAAGAAAGATAGCATCTAAATTAACATGTAAACAAGGCCCCTGGAGGATGTGGTGTGATAATGCACAAAGCAGCATCACCCACACATTGAGATGTGGTTTTCTGTTTTCCGGAATTTAGCTGTTGTTTTATTTCCTTTCTTAAAGATTCTGATAAACTTATTTTAAGGCCTGTACTACAACAGGGTCTCCCAGCTTGCTGTGAGCACATTTGAAATTCAACAGTCAAATGAAATACTAAGCTTTAGTTATCTGTTTTTTATTTTTTTATGAATGCCCTGGAGATTAGATGATAGGTAGATAGAAATTACTGAAGCTTTCTTGAAATCAAAGCTTTGTGGCACCACAGCTTCATTTTAAACATCTAGAAACAGAATAAAACCAGATAGGCCATAGTGCCTTATGGATATCAAAGAGGTTGATTGCAAGTAAAATAGTAATTATTTCAGCTTTCTTATTTCATGACTCAAAGAAATAGGAAAGCATTGCCACCAATTTCTGACCATTAAAATTCAGCAGCAAGAGGGTTTTAGGAGGAGCCAAACTACCAGTGGGTTAAAGGTCTTACACATCTGTTGCCTTAGCCTATTTCCCTTCGTAGTTGCAGCCCTTCTAAGATTATGACAGAATCAGATACCTGGCTCATATTACCATATGTGGTGGACTTGTGAGGACGCTAGAAAATATTGGACTAAAATTCGCATATGGTTGGAAAAAATGACAAAGAAACATATAGATTTAAAACCAGAGATTTTTTTATTGGGAATCTTACCTGATACATACAATAAAAATTTGAAATATTTGATTGTAAATGTATTAACAGCGGCTAGGATTGTATTTGCTAAAAATTGGAAGAGTGAGAAAATACCATCACAGGAAGAAATTATTAAGAAAATATTGGAATGTGCTGAAATGAGTAGATTGACATTTGAAATTAGAGAACAAGAAGATAAACAATTCTATGAAGTTTGGGACCTTTTCTATCAATGGTTAGACAATAAAATATAATAATAGAATATTTAGAACCTTAGGAAACAATACATATTTCCTTTTTTTCTATGATATTATCTTTATAAAATTTTATTAAGATAGACTTGCTATGACTTGATGATTTGCTATAAAATAAATTAAGTAAACTATAGTTATCTCGCTAAAGTATGAATTAATAAAATTATAGTCCTATGATTGTTTAATAATGATATCAGGCTATATAATTGTTGATTGATAATATGAGCTATTATGCAATATAACTACAATGGAGACTATGAAATGGATGCACAAAAAAAAGTGATAAACCAACCGATACACTGTCTGTAAACTCATGAAGGAAAGGATGATGTTTTTATGTTTTATGTGTTTTGGTTTGTTTGTTGTTAAAATTAATAAAACTGTTTTCAAAAAAAAAAAAAAGAATCTTAGAGCTGGAAAAGCTACTATTTAAGTCCAGCCTCCTGCTCAGTGCAGTACTGTTATTAAAGCATCAACAGATACCTATCTAGCCTCATCTGGAGCACATTCAGGGAAGAGGAGCCACTGCTTCTCGTACATTGCAGTTTCCCTCCTTATCATTGCCACCATGCTGACGCTTTGTTTTCCTTCTCCACAGCTCTGCGGAATTGCTCTCATTGCCCTGGGGATTTTCGTACAAATCGAGCTCAAAGACACGCTGGTGATGACTGGCCCAGCATCAGCCTCTGCTGCTCCTATTGTCATCCTGTCCGTGGGCGTCATAGTGTTCTTCATCTCCTTCTTTGGTTGCTGTGGGGCAGCAAAAGAGAACTACTGCATGATCACCACGGTGAGGGGGTGGGGGTAGGATGATGGAGAAGGAATGGGGGGGGGCTATGAAATTGCTGACGACCTTATTCCAGCTTCTGACGCTGCATTCAGACAAAGAATCAGAGCTGTAACGTTATTTCTTGGAGCTTGGGTAATGGGAAACATGAGAAATCAAGCAGACAATGTTATGCCGCCGGTGTGCAGATTTATCTATGTCCCATTGCAGAAATGTTTCCTAGGAATGTGCCACCTGAACAATTCTTTGCCACAGGTCCCTGGGGCTGAAACGTGTGCAATCTGGCAGCTACTATTCCCAGTTGTTTGAATTGGTGGGAATACCTGCGATGTTAAGAGCTTATTTTCTAAGGATGCTTGTGGGGTTTGGATTTTTTTTAAAAAAGTTGCTGGAAGTTAAGGTTAGAGTTAGGGTTAGGGTTTACTTTTTAGCCTGCCAGCTTCCCATTTCATTTTAAAAACATGTTCAACAGTAAGTTGAACAATCAGGTAGCATAGCGGGCAACAAGAATAACCTCCATCAGTACCATATTGGTGATTATAGCATTATGGCCACAGACCGTATTATTATAATATATTTGCAGTTGAGAAAAGAATTCAAAAGGGAATGGGACAGATCGTCCAATCTAACCCAGAGCCTTTTATAAGTCAGAAAGTATATTTGTATTTATTAAATTTTTATCCAATCCATCTCCCCTACAACATGACTCCAGGTGGGCTTACTAGTTATAAAATAAGAAAAATTAAAATATTAAACTACAGCTTTACCTATTTAAAACTTTGAAGGCTTTATCAATACTTTGTCAGTCCCTAATCTTTGTACTTTTAAGATAGTTGGAGAAATAGTAACACAAATATTCCGGGCTTAACAATACTCATGAAATCCAGTCAGGAGCTTTCTTTTGGTCTTTCTATAAGAAATGAACATTTTGGGTCAAAAACCGTACTTTAAAATGATTCAAAAAACATTTCTGTGCCAAAAATTCTGTGCAAAGTCATGGCAACAGCAGTATATATCTTTTGCATAATTTAGGTTCCTGGGTTCCTTCGTGGAAATTTATAGAGCGTGATGTGTTATTCTTTGGAGAAATACCTCTTGATTCCAAGCAGAAATTGTCTTTAATGTGTTTTAAAATAATAGCAGCAAAAGATCCCCATTGACCAAAATCTTGTAGATTTGAGTGGGTGTTTATGAATAAATCTACAGTCTTGGCAAGCGATAGGTTGAATTAAAATGAAAACTAAAAGGACCCACAAGAGAGGTAGAGGCTACACGTTTGTCTTTTAAACTTGTCTTTGTGTGCTGGGTCTGATAACACTAAAATTGTTGCTATAAGCTGAAGTGCGCAGGCAAACACTGGAGAGAAGTATAAAGTTGTAGGGCAGATAGTCACTTGGAAGCTAGGAAATCTTTTTTCCTATATGAACATGGAAGGCTTTGACTAAAGATGGGCCCAGGGGCTTTATTTGGTGACAGATACTCAACTGGTGCCTTCTAGATTTGATAATATAAATAGAACAAGTAAAGAAATAAAAACTAAACAACTTATAAACTCCCAACCAAGTATTCTGAGACAGAAGAAGCCTAGTTTAGACTACGGTAGAGAACCAGCATTGAAGAGTTTAACAATGTTTTCCAGTTTGGGGATAGGTTTTTTCTTGAATGGAGACAACCTTACCTGGAAGTAGGTTATATGAGCCAAACTGGCAGTACATTTTTGTCTCCTTAATCACAATTTTTTTTCCTCTTCAGTTTGCCATCCTGTTGACTCTAATCTTCCTGGTAGAGATTGCAGCTGCCATTGCAGGGTACATCTTTAAAGACAAGGTAAGACAGACCTTTAGGAATGATGCCACAGTAACCACCTACCTTAAATATTAAAACTTCCTAGAGAAAAAAAAGGTATTGGACCACAATTCCAAGCATTCCCCAGCTAGCACAGGCAAAAGCTGGAAAAAAGATTAGGCCTCAAGTTATGATATCCACCTTTAGAGAATCCATGTTGAAGTTGTTTCATTCTTCATATGAGATATAGAAACTTTTTAAATCTTATGACCTGTCTTACTTTGCTTTCTTTCCCAGGTTCGAACAGTGATTGAAAATGAAATCCAGGAAGAAATGAATAACTACAACCGTAGTTTAGACGTGAAAAAAACTTTGGATAATTTGCAGAAGAAAGTAAGTCTGCCATAAGGGTCTGCTTCTAGGACTCCAGGGTTGGCAAGTAGTGGGTTTAATTGTGTGTGTGTGTGTGTATGTATGTATGTATGTATGGGTGGGATTCAAATTTTTTAACAACCGGTTCTGGGCGTGGCTTAGGTGGTAGGCGTGGCTTGGTGGTCATGTGACTGGGTGGACATGGCTTGGTGGTCATGTTATTGGCTGGGTGTGGCCAACTCAATTTCACTCACATCGAGGCATGCATCGCCTCGCCTGGCCTCTCATGACTGTGGGGATGCTGCAACAGTCGTAAGTGGGAAAAATGGTCATAAGTCACTTTTCAGTGCCATTGTAACTTTGAATGGTCATTCCACACAAGCAAAGTACCAGCAAAGGAGGGGAAAAAAACTCCAGAGAAGTTCCAGAGACAGGAAGTCTAGTCCTGCCAAGGATGTAATAAGAGTTAATGGAGAGGCAGTTTCTGTAAACAACACCAGAATGTTTCCTTCCTGCCTTCCTTACAGAATTAGGCCAGTAATTTCTTCTAACAACCGGTTCTCCAAACTGCTTAGAATGTTAACAACCAGTTCTAGCGAATAAGTGCGAACTGGTAGAATCCCACCCATGTATGTATGAATGTATATGGGTTCCTAATTAGTTTGCAGATTCCCCTTACTTGATTTCACTGTCCAAAACAACTTGTCCAAATGTCCATAGTTACAGTCTGTCTGATATTTGTTATATTGCTTTTCCTACACATAGTCTTTGTGAGCAAATCCGCCTGCAGTAGATTCCCTGCAGTGAATAACAGTGGAGAACCTGCATTTTTATCTTGAATCAGGACAATTTTGGGGAAAGGCGGATGAGGCTTCCCTTTCTTCTGGAAGAGGAAGGTGAAAGGCACAGGAAAGATGTAGGCTGAAAGTGGCGGGAGCAGAATAGTTGGAGTATGTGTCAAAGAAGATATAACATAGATGCAAATATTTTCTGTTAAAAAAGGAGAGAAAAAGGCTGAGCTCTAACCATTCCAGTTCTATAGGTGTGAGAATGAAGCTGATGGGTGGCTTACCTGAACATACGCTGGGACTCCATCCAGCATCAGATGTGGCCCAATCATGCGTTTAATAAAAAGTTTCCTCTTAATCAGATACAAGTCAAGTATCGAAGACTTACAAAACTCAACCCCCAATTTCATTAAAATGTTGATCTCTTTTTCTTCTTCTCTTTTCCCATCCCCAACTATAGTATTCCTGCTGTGGAGTTGCTAGTTATACTGACTGGTTTAATGTCACAAAACCTGAGCCTGGAAAAGTACCTGCCTCCTGCTGCAAGAATTCCACAGACTGTACCAAAAATCCCACTCGTGACAATACTTACGAAGAGGTTTGTATGACAGGAGTGTTGGGAGGGTGTATGTATTGATTCATGCATGCATTCTGCTTTGAACTCTTGATAAAAGGCAGAGCATGGGGAAATCTGCCTGAATATTATCCCTGCTGCAACCCTGTGAAGTAGGCTAGGCTTAGAAAATATGCCTAGTCTAAAGATGTCCAATCTTGGCCCTTCAGGACTTGTGGACTTCATTTCCCAGAGTTCCCCAGCCAGTATTCTGGCTGACATGGCTGGCTGAGGAATTCTGGGAGTTGAAGTCCACAAGTCTTAAAGCGGTCACGGCTAGAGAGAGACATCCTTGGCCTAATCCAAAATCACCCAGTGAGGCCTAGTTCATGTAGGAAACTTCATCCTAGTTTTCCCACACCAAAACCTTGCCTATAATGCTTCACTGACTTTTTGCTCCAGCTTTGATTTTTGGAGAGAATCCTCCAAACATTTTTTTTTTCTTTCCCTGCAGGGTTGTGTGAAAAAAATAGAACTTTGGCTGCGGAATCATATCGTGATCGTGGCTGCAGTTGCGTTGGGCATTGCCTTCTTTGAGGTACAAAAGCCATTGTTTGTGGGAATGGGTTCTCATCTGAACATGCCTACCTGCATCTTCATTTGCTAGAAAAAGCTAGTAGCCTTGTTCTGGATTGTGTTCTTGAAAAAGTGACTTCCACAAAAACACAGTTAAAATGTGACTATACAGAGATATATGGCTGTGGAAGCAGAGTTTGCCTGCAATCCTGCGTTCTAACCACTGCACCTCCACAGCTCCTACAGTAGTAGTAGTAGTCTTGCTATTTCTAAATAAAACATCGGGGCTAAATATTTTTTTCTCTCATTTTTTTCTAGATCCTGGGCATCATTTTTGCCTGTTGTCTCATGAAAGGAATCCGCAGTGGCTATGAGGTCATGTAATAGTTTCTGTTCCTGTACATCTGGCTGTTATGAGGCCCAATCACAAAGCTCTGGAATACTTTCATCTCCATTTCTGTGGATACAGTTGACCATCATGTGCCAATGGGACAGGGTTGGGTGGATGCCTCCTCTTCTGTTGCCTGTTAGGAAAATATATGCTGCCCTCAAAGAATTCACATGTTGCCTTATCTCTCTTTTTTCCTCTCCCATAATGGACAGATTTAAATCCATTCCTTGCACCTCACTGCAACTCCTAACCTTGCATTATCCTTCATGTGAGACTTGTGTGCCACCTAGTGGGCATCTGATGATATGTTCCTAGTGCCCTTAATAGATGTGAGCAAGCATATTTAAAGACATTATTCTACCTTTTTGAGTCCTTTCAAGTAGACTGTCTTATGTGTTCGGCTATATTTCTCTCTTCCTTTGGAAAGATAGACTCTTGATTCTATATAGGTCATAATAAGGAAAATTGTCAGGGCTAATATTTTTAGTCAGTAATTCACTATTTGGAAAATAAAAGATATTGTTTCACCCACGAGTTATGACTTATTTGTATGGTGCCTTTTCTCCATTGACTGTTTTTTAACTTTGCCTCATCCTCTGACTCTCTTGAAAAAGAGAGGATGGTTGGCAGAATAAGGCTTCTTTATGTAATACTGGAATAACATGGGGTATAATCAGTTGTAAACAACTCCTGCACTGCTCCAGAAATGTAGAAGACCTTATTTAGCATTGAATTATGGGGTATATTTGGATCAGGTGGGTTCTTGATGTGGATGTATTTATTTTTGCCCTTTACAGATAGTCCTTGAGTTACAGCCATTTGTTTTGTGCAGGGGTCTGCAACCTTAAACACTCAAAAAGCCAATTGTAGCCATTTCCCACAGAAAGGAAAACACCGGGAGCCAATAATTTAACAACCGGTGTGACTGGGAGGACATGGCCAACTCGACGCCCCTCACTCACACCCAGTCACCACCTGCTCTGGAATATGGAGCAAGTCTCCATCCCCCGCATCCCCCTTATGTTCTCAGGCCAGATGAAGAGTGACGGAGAAGGGCTTGCCAGTGGTGGGATCAGCCGACAGGGAGCCGCAATAGAGGGCCAAAAGAGCCACATGTGGCTCCAGAGCCACAGGTTGCAGATCCCTGGTTTGGTGTCTGTTAAAAGTTACAGTGGCGCTGACAAAAGTTATAACTGGTCCTCACGCTTGCAACCATCACACTATCCCCACAGTCACATGATTGAAATTTGGGTGCTCGGCAACCGACATGTATTAATGATGGTTGCAGCATCCCAGGGACTTGGGATCACCATTCACAACCTTCCCTGCCAACTTCGGACAAGCAGTTAATGGAGGAAGCCAGATTTGCTTAACAACCATGGCAATAAATTCATTTAACAATCGCCTTGCTTAGCAATGAAAATTCTGGTCCCAATTGTGGTTGTAAGTCGAGTATTGAGAAGTGTGAATTATATTCCTTTGCTCTGTTTCTCCTTCCTCTGGCTTTCAACAGGACTTTAGTTCTTGGTCATTATTAAATCACTTCCTGTCTGGGCTTTTACAAGCCATGACAGTCACAGCCATGTTCCTAGACTCGCAGCATGAAAGAAGGCTCATCAATTGGCTCTAAAAGTTATCTCAGTGAAGCCAATGCCATATTAAATTTCAGCATAAGCAATAGATTATGTTTTATCAAATTAATATGGTTGTACAAGGAACTTCCTCCCATGGTGCTAAAATCACCCTCTGATAGCCATCAAGTTCTATCTTTTTCTCTTTCCTCTGCCTCCAATCACTGGATGCAATCTGCTTTCAGTATTTTTGTGTACCTGGTTGCCCTTTCTTAATAGTTGCCACTAAGTAGGAGTACATTTGTGCTAGGTTTGTTGGCATTTTTGAAAAATCAGGTTAATATACACACTCTAACAGAGCTGTCTAGCTAAAAATAGAATTCTAATTTTAAGACTATTTTTGCCTGAAGAAGCTGAGTCAAAGAAAGGCTGTTAGGTCATCCTTTGGGCTCAGGGAAAAACAGAGATTTTTGATTGAACGTAACCCAAGGGCGCCATACTGAATCCTAATGAATTTCCATTATCTATCAGGATTGAAACTGATAATAACTCTGGAGAAATGGTTTTGTCCTAAACATGTGTTTAGGTCTCCACTTCTCCATACATTCACCTAACCTACAGGTGAACCTTTGGTATCGATTCCTTCTCTAAATATTGGACAAATATTGGACTTGGACTATTATGCAAAAAAGGAAGCAAAGGTTTCAGATTATGGACTGGAGATCATTTTGGAGCTCTCTTTGCTATTTGGGAGTTCCAAAGTAAAAGAGCCAGTACAGATTCCTACTCATAGTTATAACATTCCCCACAGAGTGTATGGATGCATGAAAGTTGGGATGGTTAGGCAATCTACAAGCGACCACCACAGCTAGCAGGTGTTTTGGAGTACATCCTATAAGGTGTCCCCAAGTTCTCCCTCTGAAAGTCTGCAACAGTGGTGTGATTTGGCGATGGGAGTTAAGACAATGAACTACAAGCATTTTGACATTTGGAACACTGATTTTACTTCAAACTTTTCCTCCAAGGCTGCAATTAAGATTTAAATATTGCCCTTTCCTGTATTGTCATCTGTACTTCAGAGACTCATTAAAAAAAGCTTGTATTAGGGGGAGAAAATGGTAACTACTTTTTGTGTTTTTATATTGGCGCCAATTATTCATCTGCCCAACATATCCCTTTTGCATCCAAATATCTCTGTTCGTTATGATTTCTCAGCATCTGGATAGTAAACAGCTTACAATATGGAAATGTTTCCATACCATCCTGTGAAACCAGAGCTGGTGAGACAACCGGTTTCTTTGAATAATCTTTATTTATTTATTACTGGTTTTCAGGAGTACGATCCGTCAACATTTAGGCCTCAAGCTTGATCATAAGAGAACAGCTTTTACTGCATCCGCTGAGCTGGCTTTGGTAAGATAATAGACAGGGAAATATCCACCAAAAAGGAAGGTAGATAAGAGATTGGCAGCCACAGAAATTTAGCATCCCATCCTGCACTGTAACGAGAGCGAGGGTGCTTCGCTTGAAGGGCATGTTCCATGCAGTTCGTCACTTTGCTGAGATCAGAATCACATATGATATTCATGATGAACTTCTGGACTTTCAAGTCTACAGAGAGATGGAAATCATCAGAAATTAAACTTTCCACCTGATACTTAACCTTATCCTGATACAAGGTTATTGTTTTAGGATGTCTTGTCTTAATGTAAGGTACCGACTTTTCTTGTTAGCTGGTCCCATCAAGCTTACACTTGACTTCTAGACCTAAATTAACTGTCTTCAATCAGATAGTCTTCAGGCAACTGGTTAAAACAGTGGTGGGATTCAAAAAAATGTACTACCGGTTCTCTGGGGGTGGCTTGGTGGGCATGGTTTGGCTTGGTGGGTGTGGCAAGGGTAGGATACTGTAAAATCTCCATTCCCACCCCACTCCTGCAGGGAGGTTACTGCAAAATCCCATTCCCTCCGCACCCCACTAACCTGCTTTCCAGCTCTCTTCTCCTGTGCAGAGCAACCAAAGAAGACCCAGCCGATCAGCTGGGACTCCGGAAGCAGGGAAGAGATGGGGTTGGCGGGGCCAGTCAGAGGTGGGATTTGCTAGTTCTCTGAACTACTCAAAATTTCCACTACCGGTTCTCCAGAACTGGTCAGAACCTGCTGAATACCACCTCTGGGTTAAAGACAGATGTTGATAGTCCTGACAGTATAAAATGATGGGGGTTCAATTTTTCTGATGGGCACCATGTTAGGAAAACTCTTCTCTGATCTGTATTTAACTAGCAAAGTGCAACAATTGACTGAAATCTTGACTTTTATCTGCACAATTCTTTCAGTGGTGTTAGAACAGAAGAAATAAGTTGCAAATGCAGCTACAATGGTCTCCCAGTACTTGCCATGCTGAAAAGCCATGGTGGCTCAGTGGTTAGAATATACTATTGCAAGCTAATTCTGCCCACAACCTGGCGTTCAATCCTGGCACAAGGTTGACTCAGCCTTCTGTCCTTCCAAGGTCAGTAAAATGAGGACCCAGATTGTTGGGGGTGATAAGCTGACTCTGTACACAGCTTGGAGAGGGCTGTAAAGCACTGTGAAGTGGTATGTAAGTCTAAATGCTATTGCTATGCGCCTACTGAAATTTAGGAGCCAAGTATCAAGTTTCGAAAGCCTTTTTTTAAAATGCAAAAGTAAGGATGAAAATGGGAGCGAGATTTACTCAAAAGCGCTTTTTTTTCTAGAGTGATTTCAGTCGCTTTTGGGCAGGTTTTAGTGTGCTAAATGGTATGAGAACCAAGTTCTCTTTAAACCCTGCAATATGGCTACGGCCACGATGCATTTGTTTGGGTGAGATTTTACAGGAAATGGCTTCAAATGGGAGTAGTTTACCACCACTCCTGCTTCCATCCATGTTTTAGTATGCATCAGTACTCACAGTTGCGAAAGAAACTTTCACCATAGCTCTGCTGGGCTTCGGGGGTCATTCGGTCCCAGTAGTGCCTCAGAGTGGCCTCTATCGTGTCAAGATCAGTCATGGCTGTTTTGAAAAAGCCTGGCTCTACAATGGAGACTTTTACCCCAAAATGATACAAGTCCCTCCTAAAAAACAAAAAACAAAATATTGTGAAGGGCTGAATCATACTCTTTATACTAATGTGTAAAGCTTCCATAGCATTCCTTGAGACCCCAATAATTTAATGATTTGATTTGATTTGTCAATCACTTACAAGATAATATGTATAAGTATAAACATGAGCAAGAATACAGGAAATAGGTACAAGCAAATGGGGACAATAGGACAAGGGACGGTAGGCACGATGGTGCGCTTATGCACGCCCTTTACAGACCTCTTAGGAATGGGGTGAGGTCAATAGTGGTTAGTTTGAGGTTAAAGGAGTGGGGGTTAAGAGGATGTAACAACAGAGTCATGTAGGGCATTCCAGGCATTGATCACTCTGTTGCTGAAGTCGTACTTTCTGCAATCAAGTTTGGAGTGGTTTACATTGAGTTTGTATCTGTTGTGTGCTCTTGTATTGTTGTGGTTGAAGCTGAAGTAGTCATTGACTGGTAGGACAGTCAATTGTTGCCACAGATTATGTAGGATCAACAGATTATGTATGATCTAGCAATACCTTTACTTCTCAAGAAACAATAGGCACCATAAAATGTTTGAAAATGGGAAAACAGCCCAGTCTGAAAGGTTATCACATGGGTCGGGGTAAGACATCTGTTTTAATAACAATAATTGTTACACTAAGAGCAGGCAATAGGCACCTCCGAAAAGTTACTGTGGACCTGAGGAATGAGCGCACATCAAGCTCACCTACCTGAGGCTGTCAGAGAAGGCCTCCACAGTGTATTTGGAAATGCAGTAGCCACCCCCGTTGGCTGAAATCCGCCCCAGGACGCTGGAAACATTGACTACTCGGCCACGTGCTTGCTTGAGCAATGGCAGGAAGGCCAATGATACCTCAATCATTCCAAAAGTGTTAACAGACATGACTTTGCGGTAGTCTTCCACAGTCATCCATTCTGTGGGGCCAATAGAGCTGCCTAAACCTGCATTGTTCACCAGACCAAAGAGTCCTGGGAGATGAGAGGGGTGGGGGGAGAGAAGGAAGGAGAGAAGGAAAGAGGGTGGTGGGGGAAAGGAGAAGAATCACTAAACAAACTGCTCCTCTTCAACTACTGTATGGTGCAGTGTTTTTCTGTTTATGCTACAAAATCAGTTGTAGAGAAGCCAACTGATCATGGTCTTGTGTGGCCCCAGTTTGTGTACTCTGCAGCAAGCCAGGGTAAGTGGATGGACTCAATTCATAAAAATAACCTCTCCTTTACCAAGATACCTGTGAGAGACCTGGATCTATCTCTGATCCCACATCCTACATTGGATCATTGGGTACAAGTTGCACAATGCATGTGCAACTTACATGTAGGATCAGAGATAGATTGGGAATTATATTAATGTAACCCCCACCCTGTTGGCTAACGGAATCTCAGATTGAAATGACAGCTGGAGTTGGTGCTGAAGGGCTTCAAAATCTATTCTGGTGCTGGTTTGGAACAGTTCAGGACTTCATAGTACCCATGACAGCTATAGGTCTAATCCAGAGGTGTCAAACTCACGTCATCACAGCGGCATCACATGATGTATCAGGACTTTCCCCCCTTCACTAAACCAAGTGTGCGGGTGGCCAGAGTGTGACGCATCCGGCCCACGGGCCGGGAGTTTGACAGCCCTTGTCTAACCCAACTGGGTATATGTAATATAGGTCTTGCATTTTTTCTAAATATCTCAGATGGTCTGTGGGTGGGGGCACTTCACCTCATTTTTTTTCATTGTCTTGGATCACCATGTGGTTAAGGTTGCATTAGTGGCAATGGACTAATAGCCTATCTGTAAAAATTATCAGTCCAAGATTTCAAGACATCATGAAAAGTGTTCAGACTGATTGCACTAGATACCATTATCTACGATTATGGTTAGCACATGGATATAGAGTTGCTAAACCCATCAGTACTGTTGTTCTCAAGGATTTTGTCTGGCCTTTTTTAAAGGTAATTCTATATTGCCTCAGTAGTTAAAGATGCTGACCTTGTCAGCTGGAAAGCTGATATCCTGGGTTTGAGGCCTGAGTGCCGTGTGATGGGGCGAATTCCCATCCTTCCAGCTCCTGCCAACCTAGCAGTTCAAAAGCATGTAAATATGACTAGATAAATAGGTACCACTTTGGTGGGAAGGTAACAGTGTTCCATAAGCCTTGGAATATAGTCATGCTGGCCCCATGACCACAGAAATGTCTTTGAACAACGCTGGCTCACTTGGCTAAGGAACAGATGAGCACCACCCTGCAGAGTCAGACACTAATTGACAGGGGAAACCTTTACCTTTATACAGGTATGAAATGTGGGCTGAAGCACCAAAGCAAACTAAGCGTGCAGGTGGAGGAAGATCTGACAAATCTGATAAATGTGCAGCAAAACATCAGTGTTCTCCCTGAATGTATTGCATAAACCTCATGCCCGGTTGAGTTTTGTTTGTAAGGGAGCTACCTTGTACTTTTCCACTTCTTCCTTATCACAGACCTCTGGGGGCTTATCATACCATTTTCTATAAGGGTTGGGGTTTGTTTGTTTTTTTGTTTGCAGATGAAGGCATCTTTGAGCCCATCTGGGTGTTGCCTTTGGTATATGGTTAACATTAGGATGTCTTGTCACTTTTCTGTATATAATAGACTGGTTTTGACTTATAATACAGAAGGACAGAGATTAACTCCTTGAAACGGTGCATTCCACTGCTTGTCCTCTGGATCTTTGTCCAACTTAACTTACTAGTGACAGCTGGTTAACATCATGAATGCTTCTCTGAGGAAAGGCAGGATGACTCCTTTTTTAAAAAAAGAGGCAATTACTAGACCATCCTTAAAAATTTTGCCCTGAATTTTTCAGAGATGGGCAATTACAACAAGGTGCTAGCCTCCCACAATTGGTTAAGGTAAGAGAATGGTGACTTTTCAGGATGAGACTAACCTGACCCAATTAGACTCAGGGCAGAGCTATGAGGTTGAGACTGCTTTGACTGGTCTGCTGGAAAAATCTGATTTTGTTGGGATTTTCCAAAGAAGGTATGGTGATCTAAATAGCTTTATGAAAGCAGACCCTGTGACCACAACAGAAACGAAGAACCTGGTGAATTCTGAGAATTGAAGTCCACACATTTTTAAGTTAAGAATAGTGTGTTGAGTATTTATATAGAAAAGCTAAAGGAATTTAAACAGCTAATTCCGTTCCTGGTTCCACATATTCTCTTGTCTCTTCTTTGATCCCTGTTGGGGTGAAACTCACCTTTCCGACCCACTTCAGCTTTCACCCATTCCACTGCTTTGGAGATGCTTTCGGAGCTGGTAACATCGATCAGTGTGGTCCGCAGGTTTGGCGAGCTGGTGCGGTCCAAGTTATCAGCTCCTTTCTGAGTCAAGCAGCCTGCCAGCACGTGGAAACCCTTCTTGTCAAGTTTCTTGGCTAGCATGTTCCCAAAACCCGTGTCACAACCCGTGATGAAAACATACTTGTCTTTAAAGTTGCTCAAAATCTGCTGGTCACGGAAGAACCAGACCACAGCCCAAACCACACTGACGAGTAGGATGCAGCACCACATTGTAGGCTGAAGGCCTGCGGAGATGGGAAAGGGTTGGCAAAAGTAGAATGGGACCCCAATATTCCCACTTTTGTCCTTTTCCAAAAGTCCAAATGGCACTTATCTAACTCAATCCACACATGCCATATATTTTTTTCCCAGGGAGAAGCAATCTGGGATTTTCCATTTATTTAGGATCATGACTTCCATCAGCCGTAGTCAATACAATCACGGCACTCAATGTCTATGGAGATTCTCAATTATCCAGGCCATGGTTGTCCCAAACAACTGGATTTTCTTGGGTGTTTTTCTTTGAAAATGTTTCACTTCTCATCCAGAAAGCTTCTTCGCTGAAAAAGCTTCTGGGATGAGAAGCGTAAAGTCTCCAAAGGAAAAAAAAATCCAAGAAAATCCAATTGCCTTTTGGAAAAGCACATTTGGGACAAGCGGCTACTCGTTAAAGGATTTGCAGTCCTACAGAGATGGAGGTCACGAGGTTGTCTGAGCCTGCATCAATCACTAGGATTCTAGTTCCAGAATAATGCCCTTGAGGGACATTGATCAAGCTGCTGGTATTTAAGCAGCCACATTAATTTTCTTGCTAAACATCTATGCTAATTGAAACAACGAGAAAGAGAGCTACTAGAAAACAGTTACTGAATCATCCACACAATTTGAATGTTTAGGGAGCCTTCCAAAGAGGGAAGCTGGAAATTAATTTATTCTCGCGTAACAGCCTTTGTGTTGCAAATAAATAGAAGAAATGGACAGGATGAACCTGATCCCAATCAGCACTGTGCTATGTGGAGTAAGGGTTCAATCTGTTGACTTGGTACCCAAGTGAGCATGGACTCTTGTATTTCAAATAGGGTGAAATTGCTTAATAAGCCCAGTGGGATGTTCTCTTCAATAGTAAACATCAAATGTGTTTCTATCTGGTTTAGATTTGGGACTCCATTTTAAGGTCCAAATTGCACCATTCTACCACCTGGGGCATCTAATTTGTGACACACTTAGAAGGACCATTACAGACCAACTCAGTTCCTAAGAATCTGATATCCAGTTTTCTCTTGAAGGGAAGATTCAGCTATGGATAGTCAAATCCTAGAGGAGAAGACCCTCCCTCCTCTGGAATTCCAGTTTAAACTATTAAATAAGTTTAATAGGCCAGTTTTGTAACTGGCTTTGGTCCTGTTTAATGTGTGTCCAGTTCTATGCTTCATTCTAGTAAAGCTTGGGAAGAGATTAAAGGATTAAACTGACATTTACACAAGTTGCATACAGTATACCGTTTGGTTTCCTTTACCTTGGAGTGGATCACAAACCTAGGGCCTCCCATGCACATTAGGATGAGGATAATTTTGCAAGAATATGTGTCACATCTCTTAGGGTCATCCCCATGCCTGATCTTCGTCAGCTAATGACTTTACTTGAATGCACATTACCATGATTTTTTTGCACATACTTATCACTAACTGTATTTATAAAACACAATAGAATAGTTGGGAAACATGTTGTGGAAACCGGGCAAGTTTTGTGAAGCAGGACATCATGTCTGCATACTTGTTTGTGCTATAGCATATTACATAGATTGCATCTTAGTAATATAAGTGTAGCATTTTGCATGCTGTATGAACCCAGCCAACCTGGTTAGGGTTTAATCCTGCCAGCAGTCAATTCAACACAATGTAGTTCAAAAAATGTAGCTAGTAGTTAGAGAGTGACATTGACACCACCAATACATGCACACAAAGCTACAGATGTTAAGGAATTGTGCATTCAAATCCAGTCCAAGTACTGTGGCACCTGAATTTCTTCCCTATCCCGGACAGTTTAAATGTAACAAAAATAACAAAGAAGCATTTAATGCCCCAATTCTATTGCCTGTGACAACTTCCTTATTCTCCGAGATTGGGCTAGCCTTAACTTTACTTGGCACAGAAATAAAGTTATAATTTTCCATCAGAGCATAAGAGCAAAAATGACTAGTGATACTCAAAAGATGGATGCAAGATGCAGAAATGGCTTTTTGTGTGGCTACAAAAAAGACAGCGTCTCCTGTTCTTCAATCAGCTACATTTCTTCTCTGCTACTACAATTAATTGTATGTTCTTTTTGCACTCTTTAGCAGATCATTAAGACAATTCCTTCTCTTTCTTCAATGAAACAGAAAGTATAACTTCCAGTGATCTTGATTTGCTAGTTCTTTATTGGCAGGGATAGATACCCACTCACAATTGGTTTGTCTCATCAAGATCTCCATGTTTCACACAATCACTGTCCTTTTTTTTTTTTTTTTTACTTGTAAACTGTCCAGAGTCACTCAGGTGAGATGGGTGCTGTAAAAATTTAATAAATAAATTCTAGAAAATGTAGAGATTAGGTGAAATAGGTATGTATAGTTTCTCCACTCCATTCCCGGACTATTCTAGGGATGTTACAGTGTCAATTTACCCTCATATGTCAATGCATTCAATGAACAGATCTCTTTGTATTTTAGGATTGTGACCCCAAACCCCAACACAATACAAGTGAAGAAGGGAAAACACTGACTGGCAGAATGAGCTCTGTCCATTAATGGAGAACCTAACAAAATGATTACTCTTTAAGATGCTCAAGAATGTTGCGATTTTTCCTATAATCCACTGTTTCCCTTTAATCAGGCTATAAACTGGAATGCTAACAGCTCTCCTCAAGCAAACCAAAGGAGACAAAATTCTGTAAATCAGGCATAAAGCAAAAGATATAAGGTCCAGTTAAAGACATACAGCGGGCAGAAATAAATGCTACGTCCTATTTTAAAGTAGAAGTTGTTTTTTCCCCCTCTTAAACATCACTAATTGTCTCCTTTCCTTCTGAAGTTTAATAAGTGGGATTCCAATTTCTCATCTCTGTTTACATCTTTCACAGCTAGGCTTTTGATTCCCGAGATAGTTCCTACAGTATCTACAGAGCAAAATGGGAAGAGGTTTTTTTTCAGATCAGGTTTCCCCTCTCCCAGTTTCCCCAATTTTCAGCCTTGACTATACTGGCTGAATATCTTGGCTATAACACCCTACCCCTCCTAGGCTTGCAATCTTGCAAGATGGAAAATATAATGAGTCAGTTAGAAAATCCCTGGGATTGGACACCGAGCAATGTCAACTCACCTCCCACCTCTGTTCCTCCTCCTTACCTTTCCGAAGATAAGCTTAGGGAGATAACCTGAGCAAACTGCGCCACTCAAAGCAACAGCAAGTCCCTACCCTGTTTCAGAGCCTTTTAGCCTTTAGTAGCCAAAAGTTCTGCTCCTTGTCAAAGTCCACGAGGGGTAGAAACAGAGCCCTTTCTAATCAGGACTCTGGTGGAGAATGCCAAGGGCAGTGATTCAGCCCAGTATTAACTCTTGCGGTTGCCGCTAAGAGTCAGAACAACAGAAAGAATATCCTGTCTGCCTCCAAGGGTGCAAATTCCAGTTCAGTCTCTTGCGAAGGTGAAAGTGGAGAATGAAACAAATCAGGGCCGAGCCTGCGTGAACAAATGGGTTGAAGAAATGAATGTGTCGGCTGAATTCCTGTACAATGAAGCAGGCCAGAATGGCAGTCAAAGGTAGCCAGTATTCAAGCAATCATGAGAGCATACGGCTCCCTCATTTATAATCGCGAGAACTCAAAGTTTGTGTATGTTCTGTTTCATAACTTCGCAACAAGGGAGGTAGATGTAACTGAAAGACGGCTTCTTTCCCCAAGAAAGCTTCATATACACACACACACACAGAGACACAGACAGAGCTGCTTTATCATATTCTCTTTCTATCCAGAGCTGGCAGGAAGTCATGCTGACTTGAATTTTGTTGTCTCTGCAAGCTTGCCCTTTATACGCTTCGAATGGGTCCATGTTACACTATTATCTTCTACAGCTTTTAACTTGCACTCAGCTAAGGGTTCAAGAGTCTGGTAAGCACCTGGAGTTGACCAATAGACCTTTTGATCACGAGGGGGCAGCATAGAATTAGGTTTTTATTTTGTATCTTGACTGTCACCAAGTGGCCCTCTGTATTTGTGCAGCCATTGGATAAATGGCATTGAAGAACTGCGCTTGGGGAAGGCGGGGTAAGCTACGGAAATCAGAATGGGCACTGTAAACTCCTCTAAGAACGTTGTGCAAGAAGAGAAATTGAGGAGCTATTCTTCTTGGGAGTAGTAACTATTAAGAAAGAAATTGTCTTCCAGACAGGCTACGTTGTACAAGAGGTTATTCTTTTGAGTACACTTCCAAGTAAGCCACAGATGGGCTAATCAATTTCACATTCTGTGTTAACCAGCCTATCTTAAAAAAAAAACCCAAAAAACTATCTGTAAACGTTGGGATGCTGGTATTCCTCAGGGCAAAAGGGCTTAGAAGGGTAGAAATCATACAGGAAGGGGTGATTCCACAGGAATCTGGCCAGACCAACTAGAGTCACCATTTTGCCAACAGAGCATGTCATTTCAGGCCGCCTCCCGATGTGCATCGATGTTCTCTACTTTGCTTGGATGTAACATATAGATGTTACATAGGGTGAAATGAGCTGGGGAAAAAAAACACTTTCAAAGCGAAACACACACACACATGCACACACACACACACACACACACAATTCTCAGGCATATTTCGGCAGAAACCCTGTGTTGAAAAACATTCAACTATTTTAGAACGATTGGGGAATTCATTTCTTGTCTTAATGCCAATATAAGAAAACCACTCCTTTCCTCTTGCTGAGAGCTCATCAGATATACAGCTCTAAATAGAGGGAATTTAATTTGAGGTTATCCAAGGTGATGTACATACGTTCCTATTTAATTTCTCTTTAGCACCTGCCCTATCCTTTTAAGGACCTAGGAAAGAAAACTGACATTTTATTCTCTGGAAGAAGAGAGCAGCAATGGCAGTTAGACTTAAATACCGCTTCACGGTGCTTTCCAGCCCTCTTTAAGCTGTTTACAGAGTGAGCATATGGCCCCCAACAGCCTGGCTCCTCGTTTTACCAGCCTCAGAAAGATAGAACGCTGAATCAACCTTGAGCCTGGTGAGATTCGAACTGCCAAATTGCAGGCAGATAGCAGGCAGAAGAAGTAGCCTGCAGTACTGCAGTCTAATACTGCGCCACCAGGGCTCATACAGGATACACCAATTCTCCATTGCTGGCTGCAAGAAGCCATTGCAAAAGGGGAGAAGTTTTCTGTATTCTCTTGAATACTCCAGTATTGATATATCAGTAATTTACTCCTTGTGGAGCTGTATAGCATCACTTGCAACCATTTGTTTTGTCTACGTTCAAAGTTACAATGGCACTGGAAAAAAAAGTGCCTTTATGATTGTTTTTCACACTTAGGAGTGTTGCAGCCTCCCCATGGTTGCGTAATCAAAATCCGGACACTTGGCAACTGACTCATATTTATGACTGTTGCAGTGTCCCACCCGGGGTCATGTGATCGCCTTTGGGACCTTCTGTCAAGCAAAGTCAATGGAGAAGCCCGATTAAATTAACAACCGGGTTACAACAACTGTAGTGATTCACTTAATAACTGTGGTAACAAAGGTCATAAAACAGGGCAAAACTCACTTAACAACTGCCTTGCTTAGCAATGGAAATTTTGAGTGGAATTGTGGTTGTAAGTCGAAGACTATCTGTAGTGCATTTATAGAGTCTCACTCATTGCTGATAATATCTGCTAAACAAATAATTCCCTCAACACTGTTCAACTATTTACAAAGTGTGCACTACAATTACTATTAATCTTCTCATCACTCCTTATTACCCATTCCCTCCCACTTGTGACTGTATAACTGTAACTTTGTCGCTTGTATCCTTACGATTTAATATTGACTGTTTCCTAGTATGATTTGATTGCTTATTGTACTCTATGACTATTATTAAGTGTTGTACCTGGTGATACTTGACTCTTGACAAATGTATCTTTTCTTCTATGTACACTGCGAGCATTTGCACCAAGACAAATTCCTTGTGTGTCCAATCACACTTGGCCAATAAAGAATTCTATTCTATTCTATTCTATTCTATTCTATTCTATTCTATTCTAT